TGGAGATGGGTGTCCTGGAGCAGCAGGGCTGTGGTCCCCAAGCTCTGAGCACAGCCTCGGCTCCGGCCCCTTTCCCGCAGTCACGGCACAGGGTGGTTAAATCCTCCACCGCAGCCGTGCTAACAACTACACTTTCCGAAGAAAGAGCGGAGGAGAGAAATCCCCGGCTGCGCTGCGATGGTGTAACGCGTTGCCGGCTGGGCAGGCAGCTGCCCGCCTCCTTCCTGTGCAGTCTGGTCGGGTTTGTTTGCCTTCTCCAAAGCAAACAGTGTTGAAACTTGGGGGGGAGGTGGTGGTGTTGGCAAATCCTTGCTTATGAGCTGCTTCCTGGCGCAAGGTTTCCGGCATCCTGTTCCTTCCAAACACCACTGGTGAGGGGGGATCCCAGAAATATTTGATACTTATAACCCAGCGTCTGAGCGCTGGATTTATCCGGCAGCTGCGCCCACCAGCTGCAGGGTGACCATGGCCATGGCCACCCGCTGACCAGCCCTCGACGTGCCGGCGTAGGCAGCGTTAAACCAACACGCTGCTGCTTTTGAACCACAACCCCGCGCTTCCCTGTGAGCCCATCCACACACAACCGTAAAACCTGCTGCTGCCCTACGCTCCCGTGTCTCTACGGACAGCCTCTGCCTTGCCGTCCTTAAAGCCTCGGCGCCAGCGGCACGAGCTCCATCAGCCCGGAGCACGGCCGCGCCGGACACGGCATCGCTGCTGCAGCAGGGGACCACGGGCTCTTCCAAAGGGAATCGGGCAGATAAGCAGCAGCTTTGGCTGTTGTTAGTTCTGCTTTTCCTGCTGGGCGAGGGACACAGAGCCTTAGCACGGTCCCTTAGGACGCAGTCGGCGAGCAGCTCGCCCATGGCCTGCAGCAGCCTCGCCACGAGCCAAGAAGCGGATTCCTGTTTTCTGCTGGCAGCTTTGCAGCCAGCCAAGGGGCGGTTGACCACTGCTCTTGAACAGCAGCTGCATCAAAGCCCTGACCATGGGTGTGGGGCCAAAGCCCAGGGGACCAAAGGGGTATAAATGCCCCCTTGCCTGGGCAGGGAAGCAGCTGCTAATCCCAACTTCTCGCCCTGTGGTCTGGGAGCAAGCCAGGTTGGAAAACACGGGAGCGGAGGTCAGCAGCCCCAGCAGAGGCTGGGGCAGGTCTGCGTTGGACCCAACACACGGGCACGTGCTGCCCATGGGCATGGGCACAGCCCCGTGGCAGAGGCACACGGAGGCACTAAGGGCTGAGAAACTTCTGCAAAACCCACCAGGAGTTGACCAGGAAGGACCTGGACAGCCAAGCGAATCCCTTGACGTATTTGGTCGCCCTCTGCAAGGTTCCCAAGGAAATCTGTGTAAGGTAGAGGTACCAGTGTGGGCGGCTGCCTCCGGGCATGGATGCGCCACCTCGTGACAGGCACTACAGGGTCCCCAAACCTGCGAGGTGGGGAGCGCCCCGCAAGGCAGCCCCAGGCGCTTCTCACCTCCTCTGCCCCACAGATAGGGCAGCTGCAACCTGCACACCAGGGTCTGGTGAGGAGTCCTGGCAGCAGCCCTTCCTCCCCCATCCCTGTCCTACCAACCACCACAGTCTCCTCCAGGCTGTCTCTGTCCATTCTGCCTGTGCTCTGCTCTGCTGCTGGCATCAATGGCATCCCAACCGCAGCTGGTCCAGGGCCCAAACATCTTCCCTGTGCCCACCGTTCTGGTTCAAGAGGATGACAGACACATTCTGGGGCGGTACCTGGTAGAGGTATGTTCTGTGTGGTTTTTAATTCCCAGTAAGAAGTAAATTGGAGTAAATTCAGCAGAGATGGGAAGTAAGGCAAGCTGTGCTGGATTCAATTCTGCATGTACTTCTCTGCTCCACCCCATCAAGCCCCTTACCCTCACAGCCGAGGGTGCCTTGGGCTCTGGGGAACAGTCATTGCCTCGTCCCTGTCTTGAAAGGAGCTGGCAGAACCAGGAGTTTCTTGAAGACCTTGAAACACAGTCTGACTACTGGCAATTCATGGCCCCACAAGACCGGTGCCACTATGATCTACCCCGTGATGATGAAGCAGAGCAATTGCTTGTATGAGCTCCTGCTTCCAAAGGAGTGGGCTGTAGCAATTCAAACCAGTGGGGAACAGGCAAAATTAAACTAAAATAAATACTCTGGGCTTTTCTCTCAGTAAATATGGAAACAGAGTTGAAAAGTCTTCAACGAGTGCTGTTTCCCACACAGACAATAGTATGGTCCTTGAGGGGCCGGGCTGAACTCAGGCCAGAAAAAGCAGAGGTGAAGAGCCGAGCCTCCCGTGAGCCCCACGTCTTTGTGCAGCTGCATGAAAGCAGCGGTCACGGCTGCCAGCCCCACCGCATGGCACTGCCTTCTCGAGGGTGTTTTGTGCTCGTGGCGTTCACTGCTACAGTGTCAGATTGCAGGAAATGATGAATTTACTGGTCACCCAGTGCCTTTCAATAAATGACTCAGGTATGGAGCAATGCGAAGTGAGAGCGTGCTGGTGTTATTCCAGTCAAGGCCAGACGAAAGCTACTTCAAAATCCTACTTTTTCTCACTAAGCGCATTTACTGGAAAAGTGTGTAAGACAAAGACCGTAAAAACGACCTTACAAATAGCACACAGCATTCCCAGGAGAGAGTTTCTGTAGTAAGGCTGCAAAGTTCCTGCCTACCCCTCTGGCCACGACAGGAGCTGCTTTGGGTATTCCTTTAACGCGCCGTCCTTGCTGGAGAACCGGGCAATGAAAGGGGCAGAAAAGGTTTCAGCAAAGCCTCCTCCCTACCCTTTCCCGACTCAGGTAGCAGAGACTCTGCAAGTCACCCAGCAAAGAGCCAGGTTTTGTAAAAACGAGGGCTACATCACAGTGCCCTGCTCTCTGGGCACCCACCTTGTGCCCCATCAATACAGCTCACCGTTTTCCCTACGTCACGTCGTGGTTCTGTCGATTGGAAGAAAAGATTAAGTTCAAAAAAATTGACCAAGTATGCAAAAGCACAGGTGTGGGAGGGAGCAGAGGTGGGAATCCAGAACAAAACCTTGCTGCAGGGTCTGGCTGCCCGAGCACGGTCGGTGCTTGCTGCCCTGCAGAGGCTCTCGGTACAAATCCCAGCCCAGCTGCTGACCAGCAGCCTCGGCCAAACGGCTCAACCTCTGCACCCCACTGCGGCACCCTGGGGATGAGGTGAGCCATCTCCCAGCCTGGCAGGAACCGACGACAGCAGTGACCACCAGCGGCCCAGCCTGAGACCTGGATTCAGACTGAGTGGTGAACAGAGGCTGAAGAGCTTCAGCCCTGCTTAGAGCAGAACGAAGAGGGTTACGTGCAGCCCCTCCTAGAAGCCAGGAAATTGCTCTCTTTTGTGTCTGATGTTACAGTGGGAATGGTAATGAAATGGGCAGTGCAAAGGCAGCGCTTGGAAGGGCAGCAGTCCCGTCTGCACTTTGCAGCAGCAGTCCTTCGTGGCCTGCAGCGAGCACTGCCAAAAAGCTGGAGCAGAAAGGGAAAGCGGGTAGTTATCTCTGCAGCCTGCTGCTGCGAAAGGAAGCTGTCCCTTATATCAATCTGTAACACTCTTGCTGAAATGGGGGCCCTTGCCACACCTCTGCTGCCTTCCTTGCAATCAAAAGCTCCTTTCTTCCATAATAATCTCCATTTTAAAGCAGTACAAAAAAGCATTTCACTCTTACGGATTTCATAAATCTGCCTATTCCAGATCCAGCAAGACTGTGAACCTGACGACTCAAAAACATGCTGAATCCAAACAGTTAGGTAGAAGGGATAAATAACAGTTTATCAGGAAAAGGTCAGCCCAGGAGAAGCAAGAGGTTTCAGTAAGACACGAGAAATGCTGCTTGAGGAAAGTACCACCATATCCCCCGTTCCAGGAATCAAACACACGTTACTCCAAACTTAAAACGTTGCAAAGCAAAAAACCCCTGTTATTCTTTCAGACCAGCCTGGATTTCCTATGATTTAACAAAGATGTAATCATATCCGCAGCGATCCCAGAGTTCCTTTCGAGCTTCTTAAAAAGTAGGAATGAATCATTTCCTTGCACGACAATCAACTCTGCAGTGCCACGATCTTGGAATTGACAGCTGAACAGTCAGAGGAAAATAAAAGCATTTAATGCAAAACATTTTACCAAAAGTTTTTACAGCAGTTTCATATAAATGGAGTCTTCTCTTAAAACACGAAACCACCAATATAAATGTATTGCTACAAAGCTGATTACAAAACTATCTCCTCAGCCACAGAGAGGTAGGGAGGGTGTTCCTGTCATCTGAAAACACCTAAGGTGAACCGAAAAGTAGCGTTCAGGATCTAGCCTGCTACATCTGTGTGATGGTAACACACAGACTGTTTTGGATTAAAAACTTCCCAGGCTGATCTATCTTTATCCCATAAGGTCTTTATTAAGCTTCCTAATAATTTCTGTGTATGCAATGAGAACAGCCGACGAGATGCCTGTCAGCCACATTACATGGTTGTGCCCAGTGTCGGGGGTGTCCGACGCTGGGGCAGACTAGTTTGTGTTCCCCTGCAAGGAGCAGGCTTTAGGGATGGTTAAAAAAATACAAACACAAAAGGCTTGAACTGGTGCACCCTGGCTCATCCGGCTGCCCAGTGGCTCAGGGAAGGCCAGCCACCGGGAGGAACAAGTGGTGCAGCTACCCCAGGCTCCTCACCTAGATTGGCTGCTTCCCAGGCTGTCGGAGTCTTTGGAGGGAGTTTGGCCCTACAGAGACCGAGGGCAGTCCGTCTGGCCAGGAGGCAGGCCCACAGAGAGCAAGAGACAGAATTGGTCCTTGTTGAGAACTAGCAGAAGGCAGCTGGAACGAAGGGCAGGACAGGCTGGAAGCCTTTCCTCCCTCCCGCAAAGCACGACAGCAGCACAGGCACTCCCCACCACACTCATTCATTCCTTCGTTTGGCAGACGGCTCATCTGGAAACGATTACCTGTGAAAGGAGCTCTTTCACCAATGTAGCTGCTCCCTGAAGTAGCGTCCCGCAAGGCTGGGCTCTGCCTGGTCTGCTGCCAGCCGAGCAGAGAACAGCTCCAGCTGATCCCCAGCGGAGCTGGGCTGCCCGCTCCCTGCTCAGCAAAACAACAACAAAAAGGCCTTCGAGGAAGACGCAGGGGGATGGGGAGACGCAACTCTCTAGAAAACAAAGCCACATTAACCAGTCTTAACAAAGCAACAGTTTTCTTTCCCTGGGGAAAGGCAGGCTGGTGCCTTCCCTCCCCAGGACGGACTGACTTTGGGGCTCTTCGGGGACACGTGGGAAGCCGTCTTTTCTTTTTCTGCTGTGCTGCTCCGGTGCTAGGCTCCCTGTGCTGCTACCAGGAGCTGAAGTCCCCGAAGCCTGTGCTCTTTTTCTCTTTCTTCGCAGCTGTGCTAGTTGAGGGCCCATCATCTTCCATGCTGCGCTTCCTAGAGCCAAAATGAAAACAACTCTCAGGGACTATTTACTGCTTGGTGGGACCAGGGCAGCTGGATGCCTTTTCTCTCCCAGCAACAGCTACACCAGAGCCAGACCATCCCTCATCAGAGAGCAGTGCGAGCTCCATGCCAGTATAGGGACTGCAGGGGGGTGTTTTCAGTCTATGGGGATGGTTTGGGTCAGGCTTTGAACACTTCCAGGAATGTGTCCAAACCCAGCAAGTTCTCCAGGCCAGAGCTGAAGATTTATCAGCTGTACTGTTTTAGCACAGTCATGATGGAAACCTGAGCCATAAGTTCTCTCCCCGCCTTCTCACCTGCATTTGTGGCAGCAAAAGGATTTATGAGGAGTTAGGTGTAAAGCAGCTGGGCAAGTTTTTCAGATCCTTTCCTGCTTCTTGAGCACAGCCTGTTGCAGTCGCTGCTGCTATTCTCAGCCTCTCTCGAGCAGAGTTTGCAACCCCATGGAAACACCACTCAGCCTGCTCACGTACTGCGGTTTTATTGTCAGATATCAGTACCTGATAGGGAGAACCCTGAACCTCCCAAAGGGTTGCTACGGACCAAACTCCCAGTTTCAAGGCAGGCTGCAAGGAGTGAAGGACCAGGAAAGAAAAGTCCTTTCTGTACTACTTGGCCCTTTCCACAGGGCTGCAAACTCTGCCTAGGTTTCCTCTGTAAATACAGTGCAGAATGGCAGCAGTTTTAAGCTGGACATGGTATTTTAAGGGATAGGCAATATTTTGTAACTGAAACACTAAACTGACACAGCAATCTGACCTACATGGGCTAACATATTTTTGTTCTCACAGTTATGCAAATGCCTCGAAGTCACGCAGACACGTACAAGCTGATTAAATAGCTGTCCAGATCCGTGTATGCATAAACACACACCTTTATGCAGCAGACAGAGAACAGCATTTTTGCAAATGCTCTTAGAGGAGTCTGCAAAAAAATCAAGGGGAAGGCATTTATTTTAATGTATCCAAAACTCATGCAAAGCTGCCACTCCAGTGGGATTCTGTACTGTCCTTAGCAAGCGATGCTGCCAATCCCAGTGGGTGTACAAAGGGTGTCTGGGAGAGGATGCTTTGGACAAGCCTGTACAACCAGCCAGTCACCCTGGAGCTACTCGCCCAACACAGTTTTCTCCCACAGCAAGCCTGGGAACCTGCTCCCCTTTCTGGCCATTTCAGTTGTGCTGGTACAACTGTTTGTGGGACTGAACAGGGAACCAGATCAGCAGGCTGATACAGGCTAAAAGCAACTGCTTTGTGCAGGGAGGAAGCTGCTAAAAGAGAAACATCTGTGGGACTGTGGCCTTCAGAAATAGCTGCAGAAGAGGAAGAGAATAAAAGATGGTGTAGGAAGTGACACAGTACAGTTCCTCGTGGACTTCTGAGTTGTGGAAATGTATTTACAGTTCTGAAGTCAGCACACACTGTTAAAGACCAACTTGGTGATGTTCAAGTGCTAAAAGAAAAGCTCAGTTAACTTGTAATCTTGAAAAACAACAGAAGTAGAGGGAACTTTTGACTGTCAAGACTGAATGAAGGTGTCATTGCACAGCCTACTGGCATAAGCCAAACATCTGAGCAGTGGCACCAGACAGCGTCAGTGTTCAGCGGGAAAGGCAACGAAAACACTCAACAAGGATCAAATGGGCAGGGAACTCACGTTGCAGCCATGTTAATGTACTTCCCAATCCCCTGTCGGTAAGTTTTAGGAGTCTGGACCTCTTTCTTTGGTGGGATGACCTCAGCTTTTGTTTTGGCTGCTTCTTCTTCTAGCTGGACCTTCTCTCTTTCTGCAGCAACCTGTGGGAAGCAGAGAGCGCAATCTGTTGCAAGAGCTAGTCCAGGCTACGGAGAAAATGTCTACAATTCTTTGAAGCTTTAAAGCACTCTAAACCTGCAATCAGCACCGCTGTGATTACAGGGCAGGCTTTAGGAGACAGACCTCAAGGGCCACTACAAACAGGCTGTTTGCAGCCATTACAACAAAACTCTATTCTCACCTGCAGCTGCCCATAGCTACCGTGGGCATTTGGAAAGGAAGCCCTTGCAAGCGTGATGGACTGGGAGCTGTGCCAGACTCAGTTACAAGACCTCTCCGCTGAAGGAGCGGCAATGCTGCTGGCACGCAAGGCAACGCTGAATGGCAGCTGCTTAATCTTAGCTTGCAACCATATGGGCCATGGGGGTGCCCAGGTTCAAGGAAAAGGCATTAAGTTACAAAGTTCTTCAAAGAGCAGCTTTGGCCTTTCAAAAAAAAACCACCAACCAACCATCCTCACCTGGGCATCTGCCTCTTCATACGGATCAACAAAAACGGTTGTTGTCTGAATCCGGATTTCCTCCTGGGAGCAGAAGAGAAGACGAGCAATTCAATCTGTGGATTAAGTTGTCCCATCTGCCCCAGATTTGGTTTCCAGAGAAGCAGCAGTGGGGTCAACCGCAGTGCCGTGCAAGGCCATATGCAAGGTGTTCGCTCCCTCCCTGCACAGGCCCTGGTGCTTCACACATACCTTGGGACGGTCTGTTTTTGGGTCACTTTCCACATTCTCCATAGCAGTCAGAGTCTCAAAGCCACCAACCACCCTAAAAAAGGAAGGACATGATTTCCAGCTGTCACAACACACTCCAAATATTCCTGTACCCTCACATCAAACACATCTGATTTATACCCATTACTCTAGCAGATTTTTAAACCACCATGTTTGGGGCAAGGGGAATCAGCAACTGTACTTGGAAGACCTAACAAATATCATTCAGTGTGGAAGGTAAGAATTATTTTCTCAAATCTGGGATTTGAGTTTAAAATTAAACAACAAACACTCACAGCTAGAGCAAAGCCATTTCTCCAAAAACCCGGTAGCCACAGAAGCCAACAGGATGGAGAACGGGCGACTGTGGACAGCCGTCTGCGCGAGACAACACAACCCCATTTCAAACTGGGTTCATTGGCTCATGCTACATCCATAAATTGGGAGCTCATTTGTTACTCCTATGAGCTCTGAAAAACAAACCAACAGGCTTTGTCAAGAAAGCAAATGTTTTCATTAACTTCTGATATTTTCCTTTCTTTTCAGACTGAAGAGTGATATTGGGAAGAAAGGGAATTGTTACTACAGCACTATTGGAGAGCAGTGACAGAGCTGTCCATAATTACACCAATAACGCTGAAAGCGCGGGGCTGCTCCAAAAGCACATCACGACCGTGAGCTCGTGAGGGCTCTGGGAAAGCAGCAGAGCGTCGAGTCACAGCCACAAGATCACGCCGGGACGCTTTCCATCGCAGTTCTTATTTACGAGGACAATGGGTCCCCGGCCTTTCATTTTTCAAGTCAACATATCCAAATACTTGCTTCAAAATGTTTAAGAAAGACTGAAGACTTTCTGGACTGTTGTATGTTCATTGTCAAAAAAAAGTGTAGAACAATGGGAAAGTTCCAGAAAAGGATATTTAGAAAGGATAAATGGGTGACCCAGATAATTATAAGCCTGTCATCCTGGCATCTATCCCAGCAAAATAATGGAATAGCGGAGACAGGACATGATTAAGAAAGAAAGGAAATAAGTAACGGCAATCAACAAGGTTTTGTGGAAAACACAGTCTGTCAAACAACCCTCTATCTTTGAGATGACAGATGTGGTTACACAGGGGTAACAGTGGCCATGGAACTTCTGGAAGGCAGCTGATATTTTGATGAGAAACCACAACGATACGAAGTGAACACAGCACACATTAAATAAAAAAATTGGCTGACAGGTGTCAAAATCTAATTTTAAGTAGGAACCACTGAGCCAGTACGTTTCCAGAGGGATCCTGCTGGGATCAGATCTTGGTCCCAGGGTATTTAACACTTCTACCCACATCATCATCGCCAATTACATCTGAAAACAGCTATACTTAGCATAAATAAAGCCGAAGACAGGCCGTTGAAGCTGAGCGATCCAGATCCCTTACAAAAGCAGGCTGGAGCTGGACAACATCTGTCTTAACGGAGCCAAACCACATGGCCAGGAACCAAAAATAGAGCCCACACTAACGGCTGTGGGACAATGACAAGCAGCCCTATTTCTCAAAAAAACACTGCCCCTGGAGCCAGAGGAGTTTGGGGCTGGGAGCTCGGCAGCGAGGGCAGGACCTGGCCATCCAGCAGCTCAGAGCTGTCCCTGGGAGAGGCAAGCAAACCCAAGCGTGAGTAATCCTCCAGGCTTTGCAGGTTGGCAACTGTTTGGAAACCTGATTACTGGGACTGCTGGGATGCTGGGACTCTGGTACCGGCATGGGTAGGCAGTCAAAGGCTGGGCAGATGGAATGGCAGAAAATCAAATTAAATGAAACTGGTGGGGATAAAAAAAGTCAAACAGGTGGGATAAGTAGAGTGTTTTATCACCTAACTCTGCTTTTACATCAAAGAACTGAGCAATACCTCGACCAAAACATACACCACGTTCACTGGTATTTGACATATTTATGCATTTTATGCCACGTTAACGCAATGAAACAGGCTGCCCACGGTGGTCTGAGAGGCAAGTGGGTCCTTCTCATTCAACACTCCTGTGCTTCACGCACATGCCCCTCTCTGCTGCTCCATGGGCTGGGCCAGGCCCTAAACATGAGATTTGACCAAAAGACAGACCCCATCACAGAAAATAAACGGATGTGAGTCAGAGAGGGTGCTGCTTAGCACCTGCCCCGAGCACAGCCGTCCTTGCTAACATTTCATTGCTGCTCCAAACTTCTCCCCTTGACTCCCCAAGGGCCTGTCGATATTTGGTAATCAGGTTGTGACTTTTAAGAGCAATTTAAAAAAAACATGTGTGCAGGCTAGAACAGCCTCATTCATTTGCAACTAGAGGTAGCATACTGGGGGAAGCTACACAGGGCTCGAAGATCCTGCATGAACTTTGGAAAGTTCCTAACAAAAACTCAATTTAAAAATCCTCCTCCAGGCCAATATCAGATTCACTTATAATACTGATGATTAACACACAGCCCAAGATACATTCACTGTATTTTAACTGCCCCTAAAGGAAACTTCTGATTTAATATTGGAGGATTTTCTAGCCAACAGCTGCACTCATTATCTGCTCATATGTTTTCATTTAATTAGGTTCTGATAATTTGAAATAGCCAGATCAGCTATGCACTGACAATCTCAACTGAGTAATCCCTTAGCCCATAGCTAGACCTCCCACAGTATTAGCTCTAATGCATTTTGGCGATGCTCACAAATCTTGAGTCGCTATGCTAATTAAACTTTATTGGGAATACTTTGTCACTTGTATATTTTAAAAGGCTGTGATAGACATGGCATTCACAGGTCATCAGTAAATGACCTAAATAGTCTATTTTGACATGATTATAAAAGGCTAAGAGGGAGGAAGACAAAGTTGTTATGCCTGCAGAGCATGTAATTCTCTTTTCTTCTTAGCTTCTCTCTAAAATGGAAAATTGCTTTCTTTTACACCCCTGCATTCTGTAACACTTTGCACGGAGAGTATCTCTATGCATATCACAGTGTCAGCACAGTCAGCTCTCAATACAGGTTTGTGTCTTTAGACACTGCCATAATACTAATAAAAAATAAAAATGCATTTGAACACAAACCACCAGCTCAGAGAAGAAAGCTCTGACCAGAGGAACTGGAAATAATTTACTAGTCACTTTTGTCCAGGGAGCACTTGGAAGCTTTGTCAAGGATCAGCCTAGCTGAGGCTGGTGGTTCATCAGTAAAAACTGAAATCCAAAAAGGACAAGATCTGATTGCAAACATGAGCCTTCCCACAAAACTGAACTACACACTACTCAGGGCAGTCACAGCTGGATGCTAAAAATTGGAATATTCCAACTTAGGGCCTCAAACCATAAAGCTTTTGCAAAGCTCTGATTTTTTTAAGTAGTGAGATGATGTACATGCAGGCTCTCAAAACATTACATGTTGTCACTCTCAAATCTCATGCTGTTACATTGCTGCACTAAACTCAGTTTGGTGAGATATCATGTGTCTAAGCCCATGCACTGGCACCTGCTACAGCAACTGCTCCTCACAGAATGAGGAAACCAGCAGACCGCAGTAGTTTTGGGGACTCTTTGCCTGTCCCTCAACAGGTATTCTGGGTGTAAAAAGCAAGTTCACAGACATCTTGCCAGGAAAAATCCTATACAAGTTATATGTAGAAAAGACCATCAGATTGGTATATTAAAGCATTTAAAAAAACCTCTAATAATAGAGCCACCAGTTAATATTATTCCAATATTCACTAACTTGGAACAAAAAGAGGTAAAACCTGTTATAAGAGTAAATCTGAGTCTCAGCATAAGGAACCTGTCCATCATCTTCATTAAAACAAAATATCAAGTTCAGAAGTTCCAACTTACATCCCTGTATACCCTTGACACGTGCTAAGTGCGTTCCACAGACGGTGGCAGGTCACACCGCGTTAGCCTTTCTGATTCAGTGTCACTTGGGCTAAGTCAGGAGCACGGCAGGACAGGGAAGGGAGGAAGGCAGAAACAAGTTTAACCTTTTCAACTGTTTCTGGCTCTATTCCTTTTATAAGGTGCCACACATGCCTTGCTCTAAACTGACCAAGTGAGGTTTAAACAAATGCTTGGGTGACATCCTACTGTGAAGAGGATGATGCCTTCAAGATACCATTTACATCAGAACAACCAGGGACACCGAGGGTTTGCTGTGTACTTCCCATAGATGTTGAACAGAGAGAGAAATGATGATCTCAACTATATATTTAGCTCAGCATCCCTGAGACAGCTTGTATTTTTAGAGGAGCTTGATAAATGTTGCATTACATTTAAGCATGGACGACAAGGTAGGTACATTTAGGTTTTTTTCTGTTAGAATAGTAATGAAAAAATGTGCCTTTACTCGTGCAATTCTGTTTTCTTGAAAACCAAGCTATGTTAGCACTGGATATCTTTGCATTTCAAATTTAGAGATGTTATTAAAAATCTTACTTCCTGTTAAGGCTCCCTTATGCAAACGAGTAACCTTGCTTCATAACCACTGCCAATGTCTTTGCATGAAGTTATAAGTGAAATACCTGGAGCAAGCTCTATCCACCTGCAGTAGGCCAGTGAAAGTCTTGCTGTACACTAGTGCTGCTCCCAAGGAAACCTGCAGCTCCCTAGCACTCTTCCAGACATTCACACATGGACTTCCTATTTCTCATATTTTTGTTTAGAAGAATTGCAGGAATTAAGCCTTATGCAATGATGGGGATGGCAGCGATCCAAGACGACCGAGTTTCCTGGTCAGAAGATGATACAAGAACAATGTCTGGACTTTTTCAAAAAATGCTTTAAACTAGAAACAGAAACCAGAAAGAAACACTGTTGTTTTGTAAACACATTCTGCCCTCAAGGTTATTTTTATAAAAAGGAGAACATACATCTATATACACACAGAGAAAGAACAACATATACAAGCACAAACACGTACACTCAGGACAGAATGTTTTCTATGTACACACACGATCTGAAACAGAGTGAGCAATTTGAACTTGCATGCAGGATGCAGCCGAAACATCTCAATCTTGCAGGCGAGACACAGTAATGAAGGGTGCTGAAAAAATAAAACAACTTGGAAAAAGCATTTTGAAACTAGACTCAACAGATGAACCTGGCATGTAAGGACTTCCTACTTTGGCACCGGTTCCTTTTCAGGGATCATACAACTGTTTTGGAAATGACAGCAGCCCTCATGCAGCTCCAACAGCCCAGTCCTCGTGTGCTGCATGGAATCACGGCTGTGGCTTCCACACAGAGGCCTGGCTTATTTTCCCACCTTAATCTTCACTGCCATCCTGGTGCCCGAGGAGCAGACTCTGCACTGCAAAATTAGGTCAGGCTCCCTACACAGATTCAACAACAGCATCAGCTCTTCTGCTGTCACACAGTTTCTGTCCTTCAGATGTATTAAAGCAGAAGAGCAACAAGAGTTTCCCAGCTTAGAAGCCATTGGGGTTCACTGATCCAGATCATACAGGGAATGTTAAAAGCGGAAACAGACACTGTGCATTATTTAACCGTACCCGGGTAACTGAATAACGCCTGGTAGTTGTTTTATGTAGCTAGTTACTTTAGAAGACAAGAGTTCCTTTCGCTGCTGAATTCTACAGAATTGCAGCAGAAAGCATTGAACAGGTTAAAGAATGCTTAATATGAGTGATACTTATCCAAGGAAAGAAAACTCTCTTCCACAAAAACATCTGCCAAGGGGAGGAGGGAAGAAAAGAGAAGACTAAGCTGAGTGCATATCAGCTACTGAGTGGTCCCTCCAATCTGAGCAAGTCTGATGTTTCCCAAACCACCTTGTTCATTATTTCTGGGAACAAGAGAATGAAGAATGAGGAGCAGAAACCTCGCGAGACAGGTAAAAGTTATCTGCATAAACAGATACATGCAGGCACATACGAGGAGAAAACTGTCCTCTGTATGCCCATCTCTTGTCCTGGTTGCCAGATCCTTTTCTCGGTTCTTGACAAACACAAGTGATGCTCTAATAAACACACAGAACTGCTGCACAGATCACTTCCAGCTTTGCCACTCTGACCACACCACTTTTCTCTCCGCTCCCTCTACTGCCCTTCTTTTTATCACATCACATCCCTGCAACCTGCTCTCACTTCCAAGCTCATCGTGCCCTGCTTGTCCTAAATCTCACCCAGAATTCAGAGACAGCATTTCTCTCCTCCTACTAATCACCATGGCTTGATCACCTTCCACTATTAATTTAAACATACACTTCTTCATGTGTCTCTTTAGCTTTGGAACAGGCTCTCCCAAAACATTCACAAAGCTATTTCATTTTACCTTTTTCCTTGGTTCTTAAGACAGTGCAAACTGTTAGTGGAAGGTAGGCTGAAAGGGGTCACTATTGCGACCTGCTCGTTACATGCAGTCTCTCTTCTACTTACACAGGTTGCTGGCACAGAGATTATGTTTCTGCTTCTGCATATAAAGGGCAAATGTACCAGGTCACTGATCCAGAGGAGCTGTGAGCCATTGGAGTAACAGAAAACATAACACCACCACAGATGGGATGTGCTTGCATCTAAATTTCATAAAGCACTGCAGACAGGAATGTGAGTTTACACTGGTGTTTTGGCTGTAACGTCCCTGAGGCTCATGCAGCTCACACAACAGTTGAACTCCCAACTGTAGCACAGGTAAGAGGGAGCACACACCACTCCCCAGCCCACACCAGCAACAGACGGGACCTTCCCTGTTCCACAGTCACCTGCAAATGCTTCTCATCCATGCCGTGCAGAGCAAATGCATGTTGGTTGGGTTACATTACTTGAGTTTCTAAATTAAACCACTTACCAGCCAGCTAGAAGCCTACAAAAGCCATCAGTTAGTTTTCACGTTAATTACAGTATTCTCTAAGTCAGGAGAAATGGTAATTACTAGAAATGGTAATTACTAATTTAATCTAGGCAGCTCTGCTGGAGCAGGAAATCCATGCAGCCTGCCACACACCTCCAGGGGAAGGGATTCTTCTCTCACACTCTGCCTTTGTTTTTGCTCCCCAACCATGCCAAATGATCTCCTTTATTTTCAGTAACATCCATCCTCATTATTGCCGTGGTGGGCAGCACAGTCATGACAAGACGCCCTGCCTGTCCTCCAGCCGCAGCCTTCTCCCAAGCCTTGGGAATTCCAGTGCACCCAGCCAGACACGTGCCACTTATTCACTGCCCACTGCCTGCAGCTGGTGTGTTGTTCAAACACACTTAACAACCAAACATCCAACATTAATAGCTGCTACTATGCAAAAACTGTTACAAACCAGTGGGGACATGAGTAAGATGCAGCTCCAGAGAAGGAACTTGTGAATGTTCCAACCCACAAAAGACCAAAAGAGAAAAAAATAATGAAAGGGGTAGGGAATGGTTGCTCTTTCACGCTTGTTTTGTTCTCCAAAGAACAGAAAGCCTTCTGAAAAGTTCTATACAGATTACAAACAGGTCAAATTCTGCTCTGAAAGATGCATACGTGACACTAACATGAACCAGAGCCACAGAGAAATAGCTGAGGGTACAGCTGAGATCAAAGTATTTAGGTTTTTGTATTAACTGAGATAAGTAATCCTCAAATTTATATGTAAGTCACAACAGACCAGTAAGCATCCAATGAAGACAAACAATCTAACATTCGTGCAAACAAAGAATTCTGATTTCATGGGTTCATTCTATTCTTAAACATAGATAGGCTTCCTAGATATTATTGTACTGCAGTCTAAGATCAGATACAGTCACCAAATCCTGGAAACACCCAGGATCTAAGATAGCAAACCAAAGCTGGAGTTTCACTAGAGGTACAGTCTCTTACATCTTTTAGCTTTTAAAAACAAATGCAGGTAAAAGCAACTGAACTATTTTGCTAACAGAATACAGATCTTAAGAGTTGCACACATCAGCCTTTTATATTAAATTTCTAAGTAAACTAACTCATTTATTCAAGTATTTGATTTGTAGATTAAAACACAGAGTGACTAGAATTCATCTATTCCACCATCTTAATTTTTAAAATTTTAATCTTCATTTACATCCAAGGAAGTCCACAGTAAAATTCACTTGCTCTGTGCTCAGACGACAGTGTCACTCAGTGTTCATGCAGGGAGCCAAACACAATTCTAAACCAACATTTCTAATAAGGCTGTTCTTCTGTATTTCACCTAAGAGTATTTGCAGTGCTCAGAAAGCAGCACCACTTCTTTACTGGGGCAACCAAGTTCAGAATTTTGCAGTAGCAAGGACAATTCAAAAACTAAGACAGTCTTTGCTAAAACTGCATAAATCTCTGCTGTATACACTTAACCAGATTTACTTGGACCAAAGTAATTCCTCTCTAAAGGGCAACATTCAGTGTGAAGCACAACTGAGCTATTTTGCTCATAAGGTACTCGAGATGTTACACATGGTGCGAAGGCTTTTGGGACCACACTCCCTGCATCCCACTAAGCTCAGCTACTCTCTAAATTCTTTCCTGGTGAATTACGGTAAAACTGGAGCACACTGGGGAAACACAGCAAAGACACTGGAGGACTATACAGGGTGCTCACTGAAGCCAGGTTGCATCCAGAACTGAAGAACAGTCACATTTTCAGCTGAGCTGTCCCTAACCCAAATACTGTTTGATGAGGTGGCAAGCTCAGGTTAACAGCATTACCGTATGGGATTTAATGGGATTTCTGCAAGGAGAACTCAAGCTGTAGCTTAAGTGAAATAGTCTTAAGATATGGTTAATGTAACTCCTCCAAGAATATACTTGCTCTCGGCTTTCAGTATTAGAATTTGCTTTATTTATCTGCTTTTACCAAATGATAAGGGAACTTTAAGTTTTTCTAGGACAGACCTGAGAAAGGAAAAAGAAATATATTTCAAAGGGTGAAATTACTGCAGCATCAGTATCGGACCTAACAGCACCAAAATAATTGTTTAGAATGAAGCCAGTTTCTGCCTCAAGAACTCACAGGCAGAAAAGACAGATTAAACATATCACTTTCATTGTATAGCACAATTATATGACATCCAATGAGAGTAAACAGCACATGCATTTATTTTCAACTGCTGCCTTTCAAATGGATAAAACTATGAGAAGAATAAAAAATAATTTTAAAAAAGACTGTAAAATCCTTGGGAACTACCAATGAAGCAGGCTAGTACAATTCCCCTTCCTGCTGTTTGCACTGAGGTATTTGTCAGAACAGCTATGCATGACTTGGTAAACAGCATGTAGCTGCAAGAGAAGAATCAAAGAACAAACTGTAATGTAAAGATTTTGTAGTATCTTCTGTAATAAATGTGCTGATCTTTATCATGTGAGGACTTGACTGGAAAAGACTTTTGAAAGAGACTTCTTGATAAAGAATCAAGTTCCCTTGCTGTCTTGGCAGTGGTAATACCTTTATATATATATATATACACACATAAACATGTATGTATGTACACACATAGGCACACAAACATACAGATTTTATACCAGTGATTACTGCCAGGAATAAAAGAAGAGAATAAAAAAGGATAAGAGGGTCCAAAAGACCTAACCCATGCAGAAGCTCTGTGTTCTATACCATGATGAAGAGCTGTCCTGTCATGACTAATTTTCCAGTTAACAGCCCATAAGAGGATGAAAGCAGTGTTGAAGGGGTAATCTCTTGTGTCCCAGCAATTAGCATGCCAAAATATTAACATGGTCAGTTACAGGATGATGATTACTTTGTTCATGACTCCCTGGAGGGCCACCCACAGCAGGGAAGTAAGGCAACTTACGGTGACGGAAGGAGAGAAAAAGGCAGTGTGATGACTGGCCCTGCAATGTTGGTCACCTACTCATGACTAGGAGAACTGCATCGTGAGCTAGAATTTTGCTCCAGTTCAATTGCAAGAGTCACTAGATTCTTCTCTTCAGGCTTCAGACACACAGGAGAGCATGTCTGTTATACTGCTGTTCATAATATCCTTCACTTACCTTCCGAAAACTGTATGCTTCTTGTCCAGATATGCACAAGAGCGGAATGTGATGAAGCTGGAAGGAATAAAGACATAACAGTCAGCATATTATCTCACTGACACTCAACACAGCCAGTAATGCTTAAAAACAGTGTATGCAACAGCTTTCTGAGAGGAGACAAATCCCTCTCTCTCTCTGGCTCTTCTCTGGGAGGCCCGCTGGCCAAACACTACATTTTGTGGGTTTCATCTTGGATTGCTGGAGTTTTGACTTCTCGTTTTTACACCTTACCAACATCCCTAAACAGTACTGTAAGCATGGTGACTTGCACAAAGTCAAAAATCAATGTGAGCATCCACCTCCTTGGCCAGGCAGGCCCTGGGAAGCTCACGCAGGACAGGGAGACGTGCATCCTGCTCGAGAAGTACATCTCTTGTGCACGACTGGGAGCTGGCATCCTGCAAATACAGTTTTGTAACGCAACAGCCCTCTGCCAGTGTAAACATCTATCTTCTAGGATATTCACTTTCTGCATTTCTCTTCCATTAAATTGGCCTGTCAGTGATCCATTTCTCCTCTGGACAGAGCAAATTTGTGCTTTGGATACAAACATGGCAGAAGAATACTTGGAAGTGTCAAAAGTAATGAAAACCTGTGAAACTTGAATTCTTTATTTTTAACTAATTGGACTTTTAATTTTCAAGGTTGTAATTTTAAACATGGGAACTAAAATACCAAATCCAAAGCAACCTTTAGTACTAAAACTTTTCTCTAAAGATTAATGCTTCTTTGGAAGACTTGGACTACAAGCATGAGACAGAGGTTTCCACACTGTGGTCTGCAGACCACGATGGCCCATCTTGGCTGGACATGCAGTGCTGGCTCTCCTCCCTGTCTCCATCTGTTACACTACATTAGAGACAGCTAAAAATATATAAGCATTCCAAAAGCACTTTTCCATATAAGCAACTGCCTCAGGAAGTTATACGATTGCGAATAGGAGGGGCTGCAATCTGCCAGACAATCTATTAAGACGTAGCTTGCCCTAGGAAAACTTTGAGATGCTGTGCAGAATGCAAACTCCTGCACAGGGCAAACATTACGACTGAGCCTTGTGCATGGGTTCTTTGGACCAGTTTATTCCCACATATGCAATATTTAAGATTATCAAATGGTCAGTTCAGTAGCATTGTAATAAAAAAAAAATCTGAGCAGTAGCAAATATACAGAGAAAGCTTCTCATCCATCACCACAGTCAAAATAAAATTAAGGATAATGGAATTAACATAACTCAGTACAATCCCAGAGGAGAAGTCCTGAGCATTATTCAAGCACCATCTTGTACAGGTGACCCAGCTCACTCTGCACTGCAGTGTCTGTCACCTATGAGAAGAGGTATTCACCCAGTTCCTAAGGCCACAACAGTTGCCAGAAATGTCTAAACACTGCCTAGGAGGCCTTATAAATATGGGCAGCTGGAGTCTCTCAAGGACTTCACATACAAAGGAATTTCATATTTCATTTGTAAACATTAGGGAAACATACGATCACATTTACAGCAGCAGATGATGTGACTCAATATGGCATATCACTAATGAACTATCTCTAACTTCTGTTTCTGGAATACCCTTTAAGAAAAACCCAACCAACCAACCAACAAAAAGCCTCTACTCTCCCCTAATTTAGCACCTGAGTGCTGGCAATAACATTCAAATCCAAAATAAGCTCTACAGCAACTCGATCCTGTGAACTGCCCAACGTGTTCTTAGCCTTAAGTACTTGAGTAAGCCTATTAAAGGCCCTGAGACAAGCACTTGTGTTTAATTAAAGCTAACCACACTACTGGTGGTTTACAAGCCATAATAATACTGAGCAGCATAAGGACCGACCCCAAGAACCGACCCTCTCCCCAGTCCCAACACACAGTACCTACCGTGTACACACACACACTCTCTCTTTCCTGGGGCTCCCAATAAAAGTACAACTTTTTTCTACTGCAGTACTTAGAGAGCAACTAATAGTTGGCTCAAAGTGACACAGACCATTTCCAAAAGACTGCAGGCAAACACATTATTGTTACACATAAAGAAGGTTATTACAACTTCAATATCTTCATATTTCATTTGTTGTTCTTCCTACTTCTTCATTAATTTTTTTCTCATTTTAGTCCTCATTCTGCTTTTGTACACTGAAAAGCAAGTCATTCTCAATCCCAGACCCTGCACTCTGGCACGTCTGGGTTCTACATTTCAACTGTGCAGAAGTGTTCGCATTTATTTAAAATCAGGGGAGTAAAAAGAAGGAACATTCCCATAGAGTATATGTTTCATTTCATTAAGCCCTTTCAGAAAGCTCAGGCTATTTAAACAGACTGGAGAGGTGTACTGATCTTACAGGGATAACACTGGGGGGACACTGACAAAAATTAACAAAAACTTCAAATCATAAAACCAGAAAAGACAAATTAATGATAATATAATAAACCTACAGGTCTTCTTGCTGTACTTCACTTTGCTCTTGGATTGGGTAACAGCAGCTGTAGCAATCCTGATTTCAATATGCAGCACTCAACAGAATATTTCACTTGACAGCTTTAACGAATAGCTTGTAAGATGTCATTTGTTTTCTTAACAGACTAAGACACAATGTCTAGAGGGAAAGAATAAAACACAAAAAGCACGTGGCTACTTACAACTGCGATTTGTTTGTGTTGGGTCCTGAATTGGCCATACTAAGAACACCACGTCCTGTGTGGGACAAATTGGGCTTGAATTCATCTTTGAAAGGTTTTCCCCAGTAAGATTCTCCTCCTTAAAAGAGAAAAGGTGACAGAAGAAATGTTTGTTTTCATTGGTTTCCCACTACATTTTATAATAGGCACTGACATTAAATTCAAGGTTTCTGGCACTTCTGATCACTACGTGTATAATATATTCTTACCTCATCCCTATCACTATTTGAGCACACCCTTGAAATCAGATGTTTGTAACTGGCAACACAATTCTGTGCCTCTGCACTATCAACTGCAACAGACCACACTGTTTATCAACAGTATTATATATTGTGTGCTGGAAAACTGTCAAGGATTTAATTTTCTTACTGTTGGTCCACCATAATTTTTCTTTTTTGAGACATTAAATCTTTAAATGTGGCTACCTGACAAAACACAGAGCACAGAATTATTAGTTTAATTGCACTCTGGATACAGCATTGCTTCTGGAAATAAAATATCAGGGAGATGAAATATGTTCACAGAGTCAACTAATACTAGGAGCTATAAGCTCAAATGCTTAATTACTGGCTAAACAATTAAGAATGATGATATATATTCCTCCAAAATAAAAGGCAAAAAATAGATATTGGGACTAGATACCTGGATGATGTAACCACTTAAATGCGATGAAGTCAAAAGGATTATAAAACGTGGCACAAGCCACAGACCCAGCCCTCCAAAACTGATTTCCTTTCTGTGTCTTTGGATAGAAAGAGGGTCTGGAAGACCTCTCCTCCTAGCTGTCATTTTTACATTATTTATGACAGATCTGACATTTTCATTTGCACTTTCCTCCAGGATCATTCTTAATAAGAAAAACGAAGGCTGAGATGAGTCATAGTTTTACAGGCAAATCCATAATCTTGTTTGACAAACCATGAAAAAATATTTCACCTTAGGGTAGTATTAAAAATAAACCAAACAAAACCATCCAAACAGGCAGCAGGGCTGGTCCATCTGCAGAACTGGCTCAAGCATCCTCTAGAGTAACTGTATCGCTTGCGAAGCAGGAGGCCAGCGAAGGATCTGCAGTGCTCAATGGCTATTTGCACATGTAATACAGAAAAGCAATTTGATGATATGACTGCACAGGAAAGCAGCAAATAAAACTGAGGAATAAACCAGGCTCCTGCTGAACAAGAGTGCATCAAATGAAGAAGAGTTTCAGGTGGTGCCATGAAAACAAAGCATCGCACCCAGACGGCTGCAAGTGCACGTGGAACTAAGCAAGCAAGAAATTTTGGAAGAAACTGCCCCACTTAAAAACCCAATTAATCATGTTCAAAAGACCTATTAATAGAGTTGAGTGTTGCCTGCTCTGCAATTTGACAAGAGGCAGCAAAAGGGGACAAACCCTGCAGGGATTTTCTGTAATTGGGAGGAGTGATTACCTCAGCAATCTTTGGCTATTGAATATTTTGACATCAGCCAAATTACATCAGCTTGATCCCATATGCCAATCTTCCAGTACTGGGTGAAAGGGATATGATACAGCTGCAGCCAGCTCTACTGTCTTGAAGATGAATCCAAGACACAGGTATTTTAGCCAAATGCAAAGTGTTTACCCTATTAGAAAACGTCTTACCAGAAGCCAGTAATTTTCCTTGTTAATGAATCTCCTTGTGTGTTCCTATTTGCTAAGAGAGGTTACTGGTGCAATGCCTGCTACCTACCTTGCTCAGAAGGACAAAGTACTGGTAGGTTAGTAAATAAACAAGTTAAGCTCAGAAGACAGCGAGGCTCCATGCCAACAGGCCCTGCCCAAAACACATGCACAGAGCCTGCAGACCCACTGCCCATCAGCTCCACGCACGTCATTCTGCTTCAAAGGACTTCTTTACAGTTCTCCTAACTATTTGTAAAGCAGGTGCACTTGCTACGAGTCCTAACCTAGAGGAGTGTTTGTCACCTAGAAATTTTCAGGTAATACGCAAACATGAACACTTCCCATTGAGCTGGTACGTAGCAGCAAGTGGCCAAACCCTTGAGTCCGTTACACCCTTCATATGCTTTCAGCTGACGCTGGAACTACTGCGTTGTCAAGCTGCTGAAAGAGGGTGGAATTAACCCTGAAGCCTTCGCTGGTCAGAAAAATAATTGAAAAGGAAAAGAGAAAAATTGTGAATGACAGAGAGACGCTCTCCTTCTGGCACAACAAGCAACCAGAGCCAAGAGCTTGCAGACAGGAGCAATGAGCCATAATCTTTAGGTTCTGGAGTATTTATTTTTGTATGATTTAATTTCAGATCATATGCTGAAGGTCAGAATTAACCTCAGATGTACGAAGGCTAACTTTGGTTCATTCCAGTTCTCTGGAAATAAGTACTAATATTTTAGTAGATAGTTACAGCATGAGATCGAGTCCCTGCCTCCCCCTCTGTCTGCTATACAGCTGTTTCCAAGGCTAATTCTGGCTGCCTGGGAGCTGCAGGCAAGAACAGAGAATGGCCTGTGCAGCATTCGCCTGAAAGGCCAGACATCCTATAAAGGACATAGCTGAAGTGTCTGCAGAGGCCTGGCAGCACGGGCTGGCAAGAGGTGGTAGAGACGCTGCAAAGGCAGCGAGACAGCAGTGCAGGGACAGTTTGGGGGTTTTTTTGGTAGTTTTTTTTTAAGAAAAAAAATTAAGAATACTTAAAAAAACCCCAACAACCAAATATATTCTCTTCAAATTAAAAATAGCCTGAATGTGCTGCTTGTCAAATTCCTGCTAACCTCTGGAATCATTCCAGGCTTTAAGTACCTGCTTGAAGCAGGACCAGACAGAGCAAGCCAGAAGATGGTGAGTTAAATGTATATAACTTTTTTAATTACTGAAACCCAGAATCACTTTATCTCTGAAGATTAAGTACAGATCCCTTGTTAGAATACTGCCATGGCAGCACAGTGCTTAATGCTCAGCCAGGGGGGACTCCCAACAGGGATTTTAGATCCTTACATTTTACTCTCCACTGTAGGGCTGAATGTAAACTTGGGAAAGTAAGTCACAGGCTCCAAACCCATTACTAATAATTAAGTAAAGCAGATTTTACTGTGTTTATTCTTGACAGGGTTGGAACGTGTGGCTGTGCCATCTTCCTCATTTTTTGAAAGCAGAATGGATACAAGCAGAGGAGGAGGGACTGTCAAGCTCTAGCCCTCTCATGTACACTCCTGCTACATGCCATAAAGAGAGGAGGCTCCTCCTCATATTCCCCACATCGTCCCCTGAGTACACAGATCGCTGCTGACTATATATGGAGTCACGATGATGCAAATCCCTCACCCCAGCACGGACGTACTAGCCTACAAGCAAAGCCCACGGGAAACAAAAATTGACTCTGGGTGTTAGATTCACAGCCTGTCACTTCACCTTCCTCTCCGCTTCCTCCCCGATAAGATTATCTGCTGTCAAAGCGGAGCTGTGTGCCTACTGGACTTGCAAATGCTTCAGAGATCCTATTACAAAAAGTGCTGGAAAAAAATTCTGGGGGCTTCTGTGCTAAAAATCAGAGGGGTTCACATGGCAGCAGGCACGGCCCAGGTACTGCTACTGGCTGGATTGATGCTGGGAGAGTGAACTGCAGCAGTGCTTACAACCCTACTCATGGGGGTCTCCTGTTTGCACAAAGCTGGATTTAAACTTGGGATTGGCCATGGAAATACCTGGACCTTCTAACAGCATTTAACCTGAGTAATGTCAAAGCCTTCCGGAGCCAGAAAGACTTTTTGCACAATTCTGTAAAATAAAAACCTCTGCCTACCCAGATACCCAAGGTTCAAAGCAGAAGGCAGCTGGGACCTACTTCCCTGCATTGTTAATAAAAAAAATTCTCTTAAATTAAAGAGGAGTTCACCAAATTCTCACACAGAGATGAAACCAAACAGACCACACAGCTCATAAAAACATGAGACTGTATTCATCATTTCCACAGCTATCCAGAGTGGCAAGATAGATACAGATCGTAACTGAAGCATGCTTAGTTATTCAGTATCTGCCTCTTGTGCTGGTAGTGAAAGGTGAATAGATGTAAACTGACATCTGAAGCAATCACACATTAGCAACTCTACAGAGAAGTGCCAACATTTCAGATTGCCTTTTGAACTAACCCAGCTTAATCTTTGGTAGTCCTTCTTCCTTCTCAAGGCATTTTTTCCAGAAAGTAATTTTTTGGGGTAAAATTGGCAAAGTTGTACAACTTTCCTGCAAAGAGCTGAGAGATGCACCTTAAGCTTCAGCGATGTAGCATTCCAAAAGCCAGGTGTGGGCTGGGAATCATCATTCATGACAGTTGCGGTTTTAAATAAATCCTTCCTTTTTCTGGCATAAAAATTGCTAAGCAGTGGTAAGGAAGTGGGAGGGCTCTGATTCACAAAAATGATGGCTTACTTTCTGTAATTTTCTTCTTGTCATTTGGAACAACGAGGTACTTAATAACATCTGACACTTCTATAGAGCTTTCCAAGTGAGATTCCTGAATCATTTTGCAAATATGAAAGCCTTAGCTCAACCAGTAAGTGCTTCTCTCCCTTCAGATAAGAGGACACAGTACTTCTAACCCCACATGCCAGAGGCTGGATTTTCAGAGGGGCTGCAATCTAAAAGGAGTATACTGCTAGATAAAAAGGTCTTGCTCTTGTCCTTTTGCTGAGCTTCAATCATGCCAGGGAAGTGGCTCTAAAACCAGTTACACTTTAGGAACTTGCCTTCTTAGGAAATCACACTGCAGAACTGACCAAGTTTGTTCACAGGCCCTTTGCTATTGACAGTTCAGAGGAGGGAAAGAAAAAAAATGTCCTTTGCTCTGCTTGTTGCCAACCAAAATGCAATTCCCATCTATCGGTGGTATTTTATCTTGGACTTCTACAGCTATTATATGCCTTCTTTGTGTCTTCCTGGATTCATAAATAGACAGAGGAGGCACAAACAAGCCGATTCATGAGACCTTCCAACAGGTTGTAGTAAGAGTAGCTGAAAAATGCCTGTGCTGCATTGAAAATGTAATGCTTTGTGTACAGTTTTCCCTTTTTCATACAAAGGGTTTAGGATATTAAAACTATTTTTCCTACATGCAAATTTTCCTCTGTTATTTGGAACATTGAAAATACAGAGCAGCTGCTCCACTTGCACTAGCATGAGTTAGAATTACTCACAATGTTCAACCACTTAGTTGTTATGAACAGCAGGAAAAGAGATACAGCACAAATATAAAATTCATTTTCAAATAATTAATCATTACAAAGAATGACCATGACTCAGCTTATTGCTCTGAATACTGCCTCTATGGGTGGTTATTTTGTTAGAAAAGAAATAAGCTGCTGCAGCACAATAACATTTCTCCCAGTAGTCTCACAAAACATTAAGTTGAAGGTTGTAGAAAATTAGTTTGGTCCTCTCAATCAGTGTCAGCTTTACAGGACTGGGTATCTAACTGCATTGGCAATGCAGGTCTGCCAGCTAGGCTAAGGAAAAACTCTATTCCTCACTCTTTTCCCAGTGGGGTATCTCAGCTTCTAACTGCCATACTGCTAATTCCCACCCTCCTGCATCCCAAGGTTAACTACCGAGTACCAGGAATCTGTTGTCCTTCAGATGTCTGCTGGGTCACAGTGACTTTTATGGCAGCCTAACGAGACTCAGAAAGGACACATTGGGGTGCTGAATAACAAGTAACAAAGAAATAAGGATCAGTGCTGCTTACAGATAAGGCTGTTCAGCCGGAGTAGCCGTGGAAGTAGACAGTCAGTGACAACCAGCTCGGCATTTTGTGAAATGTTCCCAAAACACACGTGCACTTATCTAGGTGAGCCGAGAGCACAGTTGCAGTCTAGGTATGACATGTAACCTTACATCACGTTGTACTGAATGTGCCCAAATCCACCCAGAAGCTGAACAGTCCTGGGCTTAGTGAGCAATGGAGGGGGTGATCATCTAAGCATTTGGGTGTTGCAACCATAAACCTGACACCTGTTGCTGAACATGGGATGAATGTCAGATGACAGAAACCAAATGGTGGGAAGATTTTTGAACAAGTCTGTTCTAGTTCCTGAGCTGATGAACAGGAATAATTAAGTAAACATAACAAAACAAAAATACAAGCTTAATGCACCTACTACATGCCTGTTTGGAAAAGGTTTAAAATAGGTTTTTTTAAACAAACAAACAAAAAACCATCCCAAACCTCTTAGTCAAAAAATTTCAGTTAAAGCAGAAGGTGCTATGTGAAAGACGAAACAAAGGATGTTCTTTTTTTCTGAAGTCTTCCTACAAAAGGCTCTCACAGAAACAGTTCTGGCAGTTTAAAATATTGACGTTTAAAAGGTAAACTCCAGATAGTCCTCTCTATTGCCAGCTGAAGTATCTGGGAAGAAAGCCCTGCTTTAGTCTCATATGCTTCTCTGATACCACAGAATTCAAGTTATTTACTCCCCGAGTAATCCTCTAAAGACCATTACATCCTATGGACTTTTTAGCTTTCAAAGATGTATCCTTTTTTATCCTTTTTTTTTTTTTTTTTTTGCTAAGAAGCAGTGAGTCAAAGAAATAATGAAAATCCTTCCAGCTGCCAGAAGAAATAAAAAAAGAGAATTTATACTGCAAATAACATACAAGACCCAGGTAAAAAAGGTACAAATTATTGAATCTCACTGTTTTATTCCAAAGCTTTCCTAATGTGAATGCTTGTGATCACACTAATAACGTGCAAACCAATGGATCAAAATTTTTACACCATGGTGTCAGGGAAAGTATCACTATGTTTGCACTGTTCTTGGACTGCTGCTGAGCTGTACCTTCCTCCAGCCATGCTGCTGCGTAGCGAATGTAAAGCCAGACAGGCACATTAGGTCTGGCCACCTTCTTACAGCATGTGGCTTGAGATACGCAAGTGGAATTTCTGCTTCACATTCATGTGCCCAGGATCTATTGGGCAATCAGGAACAAATCCTGACAGACTACTTGCACTCTGTGAACTGTCTATCATATACAATATGTGATAAGTAAGGATATAAAAAATCCAGCTGTCTTCAGAAAGTAAAAAGCACTCACTTGCAAAGAAGATAGTTGCATCATTTGGACTCTACAATAACAGTCTCTAAAAATCGGCAATGTTCATATTTATTTAAGTGTACACTGTCCATTTTATTAGAACTTTAATAGCCTTGACAGATGTTTGCAGCACATCTTGCCTATCACTTAATTAAGAACGACAAGGAGGAAAACAAGATGGAAAAGACTAGAGGTCATTAGACTCCTTTTTTAAAGAAAAGAATATACATAGTTTATTCCTCCTATGGGCTTATTTACATATTTTACTTCCTACTTGCTTTGCCAGTAGAGCTGAGTCTTGACCTTTGATGCAGCTGCACTGCCAGTCGTCTGCCAACTGCTAATTGTGCTGTCTTACAATACTTCCACCATTTGCACAAATAGAGACAAGAATGACACCAGCAAGTTCATTTTCATTCCACAGCAACATTTGAACTCCACCCTACACGGGTGAAAGGTGTCTGAGTCAACCCATTAAATTTCTCCTGTCTCCTGACACCTCTTTAATTTCTCATTTTAAAAGATGTTCCTAATTACATCTTTTTGGGATTTCAACCGAAACTTTCCTTATAACAAAATCAAATCACATTTCTTTTGACAGCCCAAGCACATATGATAACAAACGTTAAATCAAAGTTAATGGGCTTTTGCCATCAAAACGCAGAGCCTTTAGTCTCAAATCTTACAGTATGCAACTGTTGATTATCGCATGCAGTAGAAGAAAAGCTGTTGGACAACTCACACTAGCATTATTGACAAAGTAAATAGAGCTGAAGTATTCAGCAAATATGAAGACATCTTTTTTGGATGACCTGTGAGCACACAGAGAAAAACACAGTGCTGGCATACACAAGTAACACGTGCAAACTACAATAAAAATGCACAGAACCCTGCAGGACCAGGTGTGGAAGAGCTGTGGAGGCTGGTGACATCTACAAGTGGGTAGCTAAAAGGTGCAAGTGGAAAATCAGAAAATTTACAGCAGCAGCTAGATATATTACATGACATATCTACTGTGGCGAGAAATGCTCTGAGGACCCTTCAGCTGCTATGTCTCCTGACCAATCCTGATGTGACTGTTATGCAGATCTCCAAGTAAGGGAGAAAGAAGAGGCAGGAGAATTTAGTAACAGTGATCCTTAAAGTTAGGAAAAGAGCAGCTTGGGCTTTGCAAGACAAATAGTTGGGAGAACAGATGGTATCTGGCCATTCACCAATTCCGAGGCATGTCTCAAATATTTCATTAATGCTGAATTCGAAAACACCTTTGCATGAATGTGTTTCTTCCTTTGTTCTTTCCCCAGGAAGGCCAGCTGTAAAATCATGATAGCTTTTAGTTATTTATTTTTTGGATGAAAAAGGAAGCAAAGAGCCAGTTCTACGTGGAAGAGTGCCCAAGTTTTGGATTGAGGACGTATCAGATGAAATTTTGAATATAGTTAAAATGGTCATAAAAATATAGTGATAAAACTATTGCTTCTAAGTAGAAATACTCATAATGTATCACATACCATTATTTGTAGAACTTTAATCTACAAGGTGTGTGGAAATAAATGTCACAACAATGAGCATTAGAACAGTTTACTTGATTCAAACTCAACCTTACCTGTTCCTGTTCCCGTTGGATCACCTCCCTGGATCTGCAGAATTTAAATAAAATCAATAGGTTACATACATATGTGTGTGAAAGACATTAAACACGTGCCATAAAAGCCAGTTCTGCTGAATTTTCTTCTATATTGTGTCATGTTGACAAGTTAGCAACAAGGAAACCATTATTGCTTATTTGGAGCTTCTTTTATCAGCTGGCTGTCATCTACATTACTTATCTGAGAGCAGTACAACAGTTTTATAAAAATAATAGGTCTCTTGTGGGTAAAAAGAGAAAATAAACAGTCTCAAATGGGTTAACCAGATCATCCTTCCTATTATGTGCTGGGTCATAACCTGCTTTTTAACTGATGATGCATTGCTTTTGGAAATGAAAAGGCTTTACATTTGGCCACCAATCTTCCACATAACAGCGAGGCAAAAAATGAGGGAACATGGAATATTTTCTGTATCTGAATCTGTATTTCCCAGTATCCCACACACTACCTGCAGCAGGAAATCCCCATGTGAAAACAGCCTTTCAGCAACGTAATTAATCGTATATATATGCAGGATCTACAGAAATAATATTCTCTATTCGAAATAATTAATCAATGTATATATATGCAGGATGTACAGAAATAATATTCTCTATTCGAATGCCGGCAGAGGGAGCGTGCCATGACTAGTTTCACAGTAACAGCACACAAGCACAATTTTAATTGTGAGTTTAACTATGAACTGAGACACACAGTGCTGTCAAAAGAACGGATGCAGGATGGAACGTAACATTCAGTGATGTGCCCTGAAAGAGGTGCACTGTCTTCAGGATCAGTTAGAGGACAGCTACAAGATCCTAAGCTGCCTGGACTGTGTCTATGTAAACAAAGATCTTTGACTACCAAAGTCCACTTTCTGCTTCACTGGGTGCTCTCTAACTCCTTCACAGAGAAAGCCAGGGCACCTAGTCCTGGAGCACACTCAGAAAAGGATGTTCTGGCAGTATCCAAGTACCACAGACTGAAACAGAAATTCAGCTGCTTTCTAAAGTTTCATCTGAATGGGATTTCAGCAGGCCACAGTATTACTTATCCAAATTAGCATTTCCTTCTCTCACTCCCCTTCTGTTCATTAACCACCCACCCACAGCTTAGGGAAGATAAGAACAGCCTTGCCAAGGCAAGGACTCTCAAAGACTTTGTCTGGAACACCAGCAAAAGAACCACTAAATTCAGTGATGCTCCAAGAGATGACATTAGTCAGACAGAGTTGTTAGCAAGACTAGTATGTACAAATTTAGTAAATTAGGAAAATCCTAGTTCTGATGGTATATTTAATATACATCTATTGCAAGTTGCCAGGTGCAGAAGAAACTAAAACTGAATTAAGCTAAACAAATATTTTGAGGACATCATATATTGTGCATTACACAGGATTTGTTCAATACTCACCACAAAATTACGAATTGATCTGTGAAAAATTGTTCCATCATAGTAGTTCTTCTTGCACAATTTGATAAAGTTTTCACACGTTCGGGGTGTCTGAAAGACAAACAGAAGTTTTAATTAAGCGACACCTTTAGACAATCACACTGGCCACTACACTGTTTACATGAATCGCTTTTCATTTGTGCCTTGCAAAGAAACAATCATGCAGGACTCTTGAAGAGGAATGAGTCTCTATCTAGAGGAAAAAAAAAATACATACTATTTTAAAGTATACTGGAGATATGCATTGTGTTAAATAAATTAAACCCAGATCTTCCAGCTAGCACAAAGAAGCGTTGAACACTAGCTCAGATAACGTGAGCTCCCAGTAGACATAATGATGGTGAAAACAGGTAAACTCAGAGACTTTCAAGTAACTTAGTTCTAGCAGCGTATCATAATCCTGTTCCCAAGGGGGACTTCTAGCACTGAGAAAAGTTAATGTCCCAGAGTAAGTAAGAACCTGACTTCAAAGTGAGCACATTGAAGTTAGCTGGGAGAGAAGCATTTGGTCCTCCTCACCACTTGGAACTAAAAATGGGACTGACCCCACAAGTCACTGGACAATAGGAAAAATAAAGATCACTTGTTTAAAAAACAAGCAAACAAACAAACAATAAACCACCCAAACCAAAAACCCAAGACACGACATTTGCTTGTACAGTGTAAGTAACAGCTATTTATTTGAATTTATGAGCCATAGGATTCAAACAGTTCCTTCTGAAAAACTTTACTGTCTACCTAACTACACTTTCACTGCAATTGTACAGGTTCTCCTCTCTGCAATACTAAAATACTTTCACATGTACAAATACAAGTACAGAAACAGCCTGTTTTCTACACCTGCACAAGTTTTCCAGTCCCACTGGGGATTATGTGCATAAATGTATTCCAGTTTTACAAAAGAATACACCAAACTGATCTGAGTTGTTACAGGCCTTGAAAAGATCACTGTTGTATTTGCTTGCGAGTAAAGGCCCAGCATGAGTCACAATGTCTGTAAATGAACACACACAAGACTTGAAGCCTCTTTCTGAAAGACACTGATTCACTTTGCATTGGTATGACATCATTCTTGGTCTGAGAGCTGCTGAGAGACACAGTGAGACTGAGCCATGCAACCTGAACTGACTTAAAAGCAAAAAAAGCAGGCAAGCCCAATTACAATCATTTAAGGATGAAATAATCTCTATCCTCTTAAAAGCAGATCCATACAAGTATTTATCCAGAACCATACAGAACTTCAATTTTCTATATTTTCTCATCTGAAACACCATCATTCTCACCCATCTTTATTGACACTGAAATGTCTCTTAATTATCCAAACTCTGCCTGCCATTATAAATTCTTTATAATGATTCCTTCTTAATTACAGATACAGGTGCCAGTTGTCATCTGAGCCATACCTAGAAAAACAAATAAATTCCAATGCAATCTCACACCAGCTACTATTCCAGACTTCCTACATAGTTCATTACTGGGTTAAAATGGTAATGGTACAATAATGGTTTTATGGTAGAATGCCACCAGGACATGTGTTTTGGTAACATCCTGAGGGCAACTAATATATAAATATATTCCATAAAAATTGTTTCAGGCAATAGGAGGTTTTCCTACAGTTTTCATGTTATTAGCAAATTTGAAAATTTTTCTTTCAATTGGACATACATGCTTGAAAATAATCTTTGTAAACAACCTTTCAAGTAAAATTCAACCCCTGAAGAATCATTTGTGCAGTGAATGCTTCCTTTATAAGACAATATCGTAACAGCCTTGATCCTAACACAGTGCTATCAGTTATCACTTATGAAAAATGTTAGTAAGGATAAAAAGAAGTTTAAAAAATTCTTCATGAATCAGAAATGGAATTAGCAGCTTTTAGCCTGAAGCACTTCATCTCATGAGAGCCAAATGCTCTTTGGAGAGAAAGACGTAGTTAATAAGTTCTCTGGGGGGAATACAGCAACCTGTAATTAATTTTTTAAGAAAAATGAAATCAAGCAAAAGACCAAGTCCCCTAGGAATACATACCAAACTTTTAAATTTGCACAATGTTGATAACCCAGAACAGATTTACTATTTATTTTCAAAACATGATTTGTAAAATATACATCAAAAAAACCTGGCTCTAGTTATGTATTTTTAATGTAGGACCTGTGCTGACCCTTCTCTCTAAATGGATTTCTAGTTATTACATCTTTTCCCAGAAACAAGGTTTTCAAATGCAACTGCAGAAATATTTGGTATACATGCAATAATCATTTCACTGCAAGGCTTTCTTTAAATAATTGCCACCACATCGGTTCCCATGGTCACCTCATGCATCATACAGATACATCTGGCAGGTAAACAGTTCCTTAGCAACATTACCATTACCTTTTGTGGTGTTTTTTAGTAGACACAAATAAAAAGGTTTGCATTCACTCAGTAATTAACCCCAGTTTCAGTCATGCAGTTGATCTAGAATAGCTGGCTCAGATTATCTGATTTCTTCAAAGCAGTTAATGATCTTGCCAAATCACATACTGCCAAGCACATTTCAGGGACTTTTTAAAGCAGCATCCTGTCCAAAGCGGGAGAAAAAGGCTTGAGGTTTATGGGGAAGGTGTAGATCCTAAGCAGCGAAGTTACATTCTGCACTGACCATACAAACACAGCCAGTCTTTGAAGTCTTTGTTCCAACTACAAAGGCTGATGAGATATATATATAAACAAACCTGACTTTGTTATTTGAGTGTAAGATCTTGTGGAAGATGTCAGACTGGCAGTCTTGGAATGCAAAACTGTCTAATTCTTCAGAAACTTCCTCCATACCATTTGCCTCACAGCATTTCTGAAGGAGGAAGGGATTGGTCAAGGCACCTGGAAACTCAGAAGTGCAGGAGGCAATGCTGGTTTCTTGTTGCCTCATTACTGACAACGGACTCCACTCTCTCTTTGTACTTCTGGCTGTTCTAGTCTCAAATTGACCTCAACAGCAGCAGCTAACTTTTCCTTCTTTATTCCTTTTACATTAAGCAGGAAATTATTTAAATTAATCCGCTGACTTTGACTTAGACATATATGTAAGAAAGTCAAGGGAAAAACGCCACCTCGTTTACCTGCTGATCTGAAAGCCACCCATAAAAAAAAGTTTATGTTTTAAATCTACTCCAATATCTTCCGAGAAAGATGCAGTGACAGTCCTAAGAAGTCAAATGGACATACACATTTAAAACTGTGGAAGGCTTTCTTCTCCAAAGAGAGTGGTGTGACAGCCCTGAAAAATCATCCTTTTTTTTAGTCCAGTTGGGACCACACAAGTGAATGCTGTGTCTCTGTAAGATGTCCTTCAACTTCAAGACACTCCTCTCTCTGATTGACAAACAACAGGAAAAAAACCCCAACCTTATTTATACCAAAATGAGTCTCCTGCTCCAAGTATGCTCCCCATTTATTTTGTAGATGCCAGAGAACTGTCAACTGTTGAAAATTCACACCCAAGACAAGTGGTAAAATTTTAATAAACTATTTGAGAAAGGAATCCAGAATACTTATCCCAGAAGATGACACAAGTACTTTGCTTGGCTCACAGACATGTATATTTAATGGGGAAACAGCCCTATGGTTTTCTAATGATGTTTAAGTCTCCATTTAGCTAACACACTTAGTAGGTAGTTCTACATACAAACACCAGCACTGTACTAGTTACTAGGCCTGCAGAAATTTCAGAATTGAAAAGAGATTGCTACTATGACCATGCAAACACAAGAATGACAGGAAACTGATTGTGAAATTATGGATACTGGGAAAAAACTAAAGAAAGGGATATAAAATAAAATAAAAAAAACCAACAAAGCAAAACAAACAAAAAACCCCCGAGTCCTTACTATAAAGTCCTAGAAGAAATGCAGAGTGTATTTTTTTCCCCTGTTAAGTACTAACCAAGCCAATTTTAGTTTCCTTTTTGCCACCAAGGGTGTTTCCAAACCAGGCAACATCAATCTCTCTTGCTGCATCCCAAGACCCGAGGGGTAAGACTAACCAAGCCAGGTCACTATCTACGTACTCCGCTACAGCTCTCCTTTCTCATCAGTTATAATGGGTCACCACATTTATAAGAGTTACCTTAAGTCAGAATTTGTATTGGGCAGCTGAAGAGTCAACCAGGAGTAGATTAAAAACCTGCAGCACTCCTGTTACCAAGGTACAGGAGATGGGAAAAGAGAGGAGCTTCTGAGTCGTTGCCATGACTGCGAGGAAGAAGGCTTTACTATGTGAAGAGCTAATCATTTCAAAATGCTCCATCCCTTGAGGATCTGCATGAACCTTGAAGAGAAATTTCACACTAAGCATTCAGAAGCTGTCATTCGCACATCTGTATAATTTCCTTGTGCTAATTCCACTTCCCTTTTATTTCTTTTTGTCTCTCTAAATTGGATGAACTCCAGTAGTTGCACTAAACTACAGAGCCTTGATATATCCTCATTAACCCTATGTTTCAAAGCAGAAATAATCTGAAATAATGAAAAGTTTGTTCCTCACAAATTAAAATCGCATTCTACAGCCTTCATCTTATCACACAAACGCCAGAATCCCGCTCTTAAGAGGCATGAACTAGTGATGGAAATTTCTAAAGCTTCAAATGAAACCTGCAATTTTTTTAACGTAAATCTCCTTTAAAATGCAAGGTGGATTTTGCTTTGCTTTAGTCCATTTACTTAGCGCTTTTTTTGTTCTTTACACAGAGCATTTTCCCTCTTGTAATTGTTCATTCTAGCAACTCTCTAATGTGCGAGCCCATGAAGAGATGGGTTGGTAAGGTTAAACGCAGTTGTCCCCACCCCTTTCACTCTGCAATCCTCATAGCCTGTCCAACCCACAGGAAAGAACTTGCCCTAACAAAAGCTTGGCTTTATTTAGGGCTTAGTCAGAGGCAACTTTAACAGAGCAGTTTCAGGAATCACCATCTATCAGGTGCAAGTCCCTGTTCTCCCCACTAAGTCATGGAAAGAACCTGGACATACAAGTGTTTCTAGTGCGTTTCAATGCATAACACTGTACTGGAAGGCAAT